TAGATTAGAATATTTAATCTTCAGGTTTTTGTTTTTCTCTTAAAACTCACTCAATCTTGTATGCTTATAAATATTCACAGTTACATGTTGCCGACGCATAAATACCCAATGGTAGAAAGTAATAGAAATATATGAGTAGTTTTAGCGTCAAAATCTTTGAACATTTTTGTCCTAACTTGAACGAGTCTATGGTCTTTTATATTTCAAATTGAGTTTTGGACAAAAATCGACCTTCGTAATATATTTAGAGCGAGCATTAGGGAAGCTGAAAAATAAACATTCTTCACAATGAATAGACAAAGAAACATGATATTTACTACGAATCGAATACTTGATTTGAATCAAATAGAATCACCTACAGTCAGCTGTTGCCTCCATCACCGTTCCAGTCCTATGAGTGATTAAGGAAACTAGAGGGACTAAGAAGGCTAAGGAGTCTTCAAAATTACTTCGTTGCTATTTTATGATAATTGATAGTGTATATAAGTCTACTCTTCATAACTAGAGTCAAGAGAATTCTTTTTATCGAAGACAAAATGATTCAGTACAAGAGGGAATGAGTTTTCCTGTGTGAAGAAATTAGAATGTATATAAATTCTTGAAGGTTCTGATTTTCTAGTAAAATCCTGGTATTTATCAAGGACGTGTTTTTATTCCTTTGAATGTTATGAGTCTCCATTGTTTCGAATAGTCCCTCAAATCCTCTTAGCCCTCTTAGTCTCCTTCGTCCCCCTAATCGTCCTGATCCCCTTAGCCTTCTAGTTCCTCTAGTCCTCTTGGCCCTTCCTAGTTCATTTGGTCCCTCTAGTCCTCTCGATCCTTCAGGTAAAACAATCTATTTAGCTCAACTAATTTCATGGTTAGACATACTGTTAAATGCATTCCTTCTGTGATCTAAAGATCTTTTTTTCATACGGGATAACTGTTCCATATGCTTAAAAACTTCTAAGGTAATATTTTTGTCATACGTGGGGTTTGCCATAACTTGAAAATTTTCAAAAAGATAATATCCCATAGAATATCAGTCTCCAGTTATGATCATATTAACAGATCTAAAAACGGACTAGTTCGGCCCACCGTTTTTAAGACATCACTAAGACATTTTTATGATTAAAAAACTATGTAGATTTCAAATTGAACAATATAGGAGAAAACACAGGACTTCGAAGACTCTATAAAACTTCAAAGACTCTTGATGATAGTACGATGTAAGATGGATGATCCTTTCATCTGCCACATCTTTACTTACATACCCACATCCTCACTTACATCTTAATTATTTCAGATATATTATGTTCAAGATGACTATACTATCTTATATTACCATTATCATTAGTAATATATTCATTGTGTCTAATTCAAATACATGGCAACCGTTTTACAATCTTTATAGTACAGACGTGATGACGGATGATTTTGGTCATGATTGTTTCTATTCAACAATAACTACGAATGTCGATTTATACGAAAACATTTATATAATTGAGCAAATTGTTGAATATTGTATTCGAACACCTTCGAATGAAATAATCGATATTAATGAAAAAGCAATATCATCTAAATTAACGTTTGATGAATTAAAAAAGAATAATATAACTTCTACAAATCTAATGGAATGGTCGAGTCCTATTGATCTTATCGAACGTTATGAATACTTTTTGCAAATGAACACATCTTCATCAACTGAAGTATTTTATAATTGTACTCTACCATGGTTTGGATCATTTTGTCAATATAGGTTTGTTCTAAATCAATCATTTTCATCTTTTATTCAAATGAGAATTAACGAGCCTAAGTTGTTTGATAAAAATATGACATTAACTTGCTATATGCATATAAAATGTGATAATCATTCATTTCTAACCTGCCTTGATTGGCGTGAAATATGTGATGGTAAAGTCAATTGTCTTGATGGTGGTGAAGATGAAAAATATTGTGTTGAACTAGAAATAAATCAATGTGAGGAAAATGAATATCAATGTCAAAATGGTATGTGTGTAAACGAAGAATTCCTTTTGGATGAAGATATTTCACAAATGAAAATTCTTAGTCCAGAGTGTTTGGATGGATCGGATGAAGTTCGATGTAAAGGCGTGTTTTTATGCGCGAGAGACTCATCTTTTAGATGTGAAGATGTTCTTTGTCCACAATATACTGATTTTAGCTGTGCAAATGGAAATTGTCGTACTTCAAACGGACCTCGAGCAATTTCTGAATGCACAAATAATCGAGATCGAGCACTTAACTATCTACTTGACTGGGACAATATTATGGATATGGAATATCCTCGTTGTTTTAAAACTCTAATGTGTGCATTATACCCAGCGTTATCGAAGAACTTTGATAGATATTGCAAAAACTTCTGCAATAATACACAAGAATGTAAAATAAGAACTGTTAAAGATTGCCCACCAGCGTTCATCGCACCTACGTTTACAGTATGGGATGGTCATGTAAGATTTGGTTATTTTTCTAATACAACATCAATGAAAATCTCAGGATATGAACCTGACTTTATATGTTATAACAAAAATCGTTGTCCATTTCTCATTTCAACATTCACACTCGATAATCATACATGTATACATACTAATCAACTCAATTTATCATTATTTAATACCGTGTATGATATTTTTAGAACATGTAATCAATACTCTCAAAATGATAATGAGAATATTTGCCAGGATTCAACAACTACTGTACGTTGTTTAGGAACGAATAAATGTATACCTAACCGTCGAATCATGGATGGATTTGCAGATTGTTATGATGGTTTTGATGAGTCAATTGCAGCTAACTCGTGTGCATTGAATAATAAACATCGTTTTCAATGCACATCTGAACAGAAATGTGTCTCACCTACTCTTGTAAATGATAAAAAGACACAATGTATTGGTGGAGAAGATGAGAGTTTCATTGGTAACATCGTAACTAATATTTATCAACTTCCTTTTTCTGCTTTTTGTAATAATTGGACTGATATAGTTTCTATAGGAAATGAGACTGATGAAACTCATTGTGAACAATGGCCATGTGTAAATCAATATACACGTTGTAACACCAGATGGAATTGTGAAAAAGGAATTGATGAAATTAATTGCTCATCAAATTTTCAATGCCCTGCAAATCATCATCCTTGTTTGTCTCCAATGAGCCGCAAGATGGATTGTTTACATATAAATCGTATTGAAGATGGGATTATTGATTGTCTTGGGTCAACAGATGAACGATCTCATTGTAGATTAGAACATCCAGAAAATGTTTGGGTACGTTATCGTTGTTGGAATGACACAAAATGTGTTTTATCTAAGGCTGCCTGCAATTCTTGCGATGAGTCCAGCAAATACGATCAAATATGTGGTTTAGACAATGACAAAACTCAAGACATTATGAACTATTTAGATTCTATAGAGGATATTGGTACTCTCAGAAGACAGCCATTCTCTCATAAATCATCACGTAGTTTTCCTCCAGTCCAATCGTCATTACCCATTCATAAGCAAACACAAAATGGTATAATAAAAACAGAGAAAATATCAACTATTAACCATCATAATGATCCAAGATTATGGTTATGCAATAAAGGGTTTGTAATTCTTATTGGTAAAAATGAAACAGAACAATGTCTTTGTCCAGAGAGTTATTATGGTGATCAGTGTCAATATCAAAATCAACGTGTTAGTCTCACTATTCGATTACGTCAAGAAAATTTAAACAAGTTAAATGTAATTGGTATTATTATTAGACTTGTTGATCATACTGGTTTTGTTCATTCCTATGAACAAATTACATACAAATCTGTAATTAATTGTAATACGAAATATAATATGCATCTTCTTTATCAAAATCGTCCAAAAGATATGAGGAAGAATTATACAATCTATATTGATGCATATTATAAAATAAATCTTACTTATCTTACAAGTTGGATATTTCCAGTTAAATTTCTTTTTATGCCTGTGAATCGTATGAGTGTTCAATTGAAAATTCCAACAAAACAAAGTTGTCATTTAGTTTGTAGTGATAAATACCTAAAATCATTAATAAATGATAATACTCAATCATGTCGATGTTCTAATTGGATGAATTCAATTTCTACACTACAAAACAGATGTAACTGTGCGTTAGATTCGATCTGCGTTGGTTTTAAAGAAAATCGATCAATTTGTCTGTGCCGTTTAAATAAAACAGGACCTCGTTGTTATCTTAATTCAATCTGTCAAATGAAGAATATATGTATGAATAATGGTATCTGTGTACCACATGATTCTCGACAATCTTTAAATAACTTCGCATGTGTTTGTCCCAATGGATTTTCTGGCGAACTTTGTGAAAAGACAGATGTAAGAATAGACATCTCATTTTCTAATGTGGAAACTCCACAATCTTTACTCGTTCATTTTATTAATGTTATATCACATCGTGATTCGAGCGATAAAACAGAACCGATTCAAGTAACTATGTTTAAGAAAATTCTATTCAATCAAAAAACAATAACTTTTAATATGTCATTACCCTTTCATCTTGTTTTCGTTGAATTTGAGCATATGTATTATCTTCCTGTTCTTCAACATTATTATACATCTTCAGCTGTTATTTCTACACAAATTTCTCCATCACAACGCTGTCCACACATTCAAGAAGTATTAGATGAAGTTATAGTTGGATATCCACATCTTCGTCGTGTAAAATATTATCA